GAGGCAGGAGGGTCACCATGAGTTCGAGGCCAACTTGAGCTATGTAGTGAGTTCAAGCCCAGCCTGAACTACATAGTGGACCCTGTCTCAAAAAAAACCAAAAAACTAAAATGCCAGTTTTTTCTCCATATTCTTTTTAGTCTCAAAAAGATGAAGTATTTACGCATCTTTTAAGTTCAGGAATTTCCTTCCCAGCTTTGAGCATCCGATCTAATACAAACTAGAAAAATATACATTCAAAATGTAGTCCAAGAGTTAAGCAGATTTCACCCTTTGACTTGCTGACCCTCCATGACAATGGCTGGAAGAGACTATTGCCCTTTTGGTTGCCTTCATCATCCTTGTTCATGATTGAACAATACCTTTGGCCACAGGCATGAACATCTCAAGACCTATAAACCTCTTTTTTTTTTCAATTCTTTTAAAGTAGAATTGCAATTATAGCTAATGGGAGTGAGCATTCACCAGATGCTAGGTACTTTACTATTGGTATTTTGAATCTTCAAATTTGCCCTTAAGGCCTCTAATATTATCTTAGTATAACATCAGGTAATAAGAAAGGAGCTAGAGTTTGTCTTTGGTACACCAAGGACCCTGGACTCCAGGTGTTCTGATGGCATAGAATTTATGGTGTGTCTTCTAAGGAGATGAAGCACATAAAACTATCCACAGGAGAACCAAAACATCATCTCACAAACTACCTTGGCATATCTCTCCTTTGCTATGTGGCTCTCTAGTCACCTGAGCCAAGGCACAGCACAGTTGTATTTGGGGACCTGCAGGTTCTTTCAAGATGTTTGCTGGAAGACCATTGGGCACTGAGCCATAGTGCCAAGCCAGGTAGGAGATCCTCTCAGATACATACAGGAACATCTCCCTGTTATGTCCTGATGCATTTTGCAAATTCTCAGGGAAGCAAATTGAAAATTGTATTTGGCTCAAGACATTTCAGCCAATCAGACTGCCACTGTAGGCACTTGAAGATATCAAAGTGCCCTAAATCTAAAGGAATAATCAATTAGTGTGTGTGTGTGTGTGTGTGTGTGTGTGTAGTGTGTGTGTGTGTTACTGGGTCTTCACACTAAGTTGTTTGTGATCTTCCTGCTTCAACCTCCCAGGTCCTTGTGTTGGGCCCACAGGAGTGCATCATTACACCCAGCTCTCAATTATTGCTCTTGTTTAAATAGAAGTAGAGAATAGATGATTAGAAAGTAATAAAGGTGTTTCTTAAAGGAGAGGGCTGTTTTTCCTTTTGCTCAACAGGTAATGCCCGTTACCTGATATAAACACCTATATGATGCCAATTATCACTAGTGAGAAAGGAATATATAAGGTAGCTAAGTTACATGTGTGAATAACATAACAGCAACAATAATAGTAAGAAATATTAATAGTAAGTCTCATATGTTAAATGCATCCTGGTGTGCTCAGTACTATACTGGTGACCTTACATATATATTACACATTTAATTCTCATGTTGCTCTTGCCTAGTAAATAATGATTTTCTCATTCTACAGAGAGGTAAATTGAAGTGTGCAGAACCTAATTATTTTCCCAGGGTCACCTGTTCATTGATAAAGTAGCAGTTTGAAACCTGGCCTAAGAGATGCAACAGTAAGGCCTTTTCTGTTATATTTACAGCTTGAGGACAGTGTAATGCAATTTTCAACACTTCTCTTTCCTATGGGCTTCTTGTTTTTCCTGGTCCTGGATAAAATTCTTGTTAGTCTTGTCCCACCTTCCTCATTGATGAGTGCAGGATGTATTCTCACACCGATTCTTTTTATAGACCGTTGGCTTTCCTTCATACTCTCTCCAGTCTATTTTTCTTTGTTTTCTTTTTGCTGTGCTAGGGATTGAACCTGGTGGTGCTTTACCACTGAGATGTACCTCCAGATCTTTTGTATTTTATTTGAGACAGGGTTTCCCTAAATTTCTCAGGCTGGCCTCCAACCTATAGTCCTCCTGCCTCAGCCTCTCAAGTAGCTGGGATTACATGTGTGAATCACTACACCCAACTCCATTTTACTTTTTAATCCTCTTTATTATCAGACTTGTTTCTTAGATCCTAAAAGAACAAAATAAAATAGGCTTTCATTCATGGTAATCTTTGCTCATTAAGAGATTCATGAAGTGTGTACCTTAGCATAACAGAGAGAGGAGTTTAGCATCAAGAGCTAAGGTCCCTTCCAGGATTGCCAGAGTCAGCCCAAAGTTTATGGTGTGTGTTGGGTTCCAAACCTGAAAGGACAACGTGATGGCTTATGGGACTCCAGGCTAGTCCAGGAGCATACTCTGTTCTAGAAGCAAAGAGGGGAAAGATGAAGGAAGGGAAGGCCGGAAGAAGAAAGGAGCACAGGCAGCACACCTCATTGGTAAATGAGGATGAAAATCACAAGCCCTTGTGTGCTGGCAGGAAAACCATTGAAAACCTGGAAGAATGAAACCCAACCTAGGCTATCTTTGTGTGTTTTACCCTGTTACAGGCACTAGTTGAAGATATGGGGTATGATCAAAAGATATGGTATGTGCTTACATTTTTAAAAATTTATTGCCATAAAAGACCCGTTGCATTAATCCTCTTCAAAGTACTCCCCTTCACTTTGAACACACTTAGCTTGTTCTTGCAACTTTCTGAAGCAGTTCTGGAAGTCCTCTTTCATGAGTGACATTAGTCACATTATCATGTCTGCCCCAAAGTCCTGAATCAATTCAAAATGCTTACCTTTCATGGTCATTTTGACTTTGGGGAAGAGCCAGATCTTTGACTTGGGTGCCAGTTCTAGTAAAGAAGGCGGACAAAGACACACCATCATGTTTTTATGAGCCTGACTTTTCCTGGGGTGGATTTGGAAGCAGCATATACCATAGTTTTTCTTTTTAATCACACTTCAAAAACACAAGAAAAGGGGTCAGTTGGCCTTTTCTATTGTCACAACAGGAGGATGCTACTGGCAGCTAGTGGGTAGAGGCCAAGGTCTGTTGAACCTCCTGTAGTGCACAGGTCATCTTCTACAACAAAGCGTTATCCAGCCCAAAATGTCAACAGTGATAAGTTTGCAAAACCCTGGAAAAAAGTATGGGTTTAGTAATCTATTGAAACCACGTAACAACTTTTATTGCCCAGATCTGGGAATGTACATTACATAATTGCTTAGGGTGTGAACAGTCTCAGTGTATTTTGATTGTAGAAAAGAAAGATACTAACAGTTAACCTTGGTAATTCCTGATCACCGCCAAGTTAACCCTAGAGAACAATGACACACAATTGTACTTCCTGCCTGGAGGGCACCTTCCAATGACATAATTCCTTACCAGAAAGAAACGGTTTATTACAATCTACTGCAGCGTTGTCCATCTATTTGTCTTTTTTTGTCCTTTTTTTTTTTTTCTTTTGAGACAAGAGCTCACTATGTTTCAAGCTGGTTTTGAATTTACTGTGTTGTCCAGGCTGGCCTTGTACTCTTGATCCTCTTTACTCAGCCTCCCTAGTTCTGGGATTACAGGTGTGTGACACCACACCCACTCATCCCTCTGTTTTCTGCATCTGTTCTACTGTGGGTTTAATATCTCACTGGTTTAGGGAGTCAAAAGATCGGTTTTCTTTAGATGCCAAACACACAACCCAGGTGTGAGAAGAAAGCTATCTCCCTGTCACAGAATCCCTTCTCAAAAATAACTGAAGTGTGAGACTTCCTTATTCGGTGTCCATTGAACTGTTAGTAAAACAGTTCCAAAGAGGACACATTTTGGCTTACATTTGAAACATCTTAGCCAGTAGTACAAGTGACAGACACCTCAGATAAAGGTAAATGTGTACAGCCCTCTCCTCTATTAAACATATTTGCTAGCTGGGTGTAGTGGTGCATGCCTATAATCCCAGCACTTGGGAGGCTGAGGCAGGGGGGATTGCTGGGAGCTCAAGGCCAGCCTGAACTACATAGTGAGACCTTGTCTCAAAAAAAAAAAATTGCTGATATCAGTATAGACTTTGTCTTGTATTTCTTGTTGTGTTTGGTTCAGTTTAGATTAGGTTGGTATACTGGGGATTGAACCCAGGGCCTGGTCTATGCTAGACAAGTGCTCTATCATCAACTCTATCTTGTACTTCTTATTTTTCTTTCTTTATCTTTTGCTTATAAAATAGCTTGGTGTTTGGTTTGGTATCTTACACTGAAAGCATTTAAGAATTAAAATACCAAGGTTTCAAAAGTTCATACTACTCTAAAAAGAAATACATTTCCTTTTAGAAATTTCCTAAAAGGAAATGTGCAATGAAAGTAGCATTATGTACATGTATGTTATTAAAGTGTTGAGAGTTAACTCACCTAAGTTTTCTATCTGCAATTCCTTTATCCTGAACCTCCTAAAAACTAACAGATGACTGCTCAAAATGGTCACAAATTCAACATGTCACTTAACAGCCACTATCTTTAGTACCAGTACAATTTTAACACTATTATTACTATAATGGTAATTAAGGGAGGTGTATTCTCATCAGAGTCTATCTACAATAAAGCAGTCACATAAGTTTTGTGATCCTACCTTATCGAGCACACAAAGGTAGCTCCATTTATATATCACCTACCTTCAATGGGTAATTTTCTTGATTCTAGCTTACCTCAAATACAAGAAAAGCATTAGTGACCTTAGAACAATTGGTTTTGTTTATATTTTGCAGTGCTGGGGATGGAGCTTCAGACATGCTAAACAAGCGCTTTATCACTGAGCTACATCCTCAACCCAGAATAGTGCTTCTTAACTGGAGATGTATTGGGGGAGGTTTTTAAAATCCCAATGTCCTAGCCATACCCCAGGCTAAAGAGTTCAAAATTACTAGGGATGGAACCTCCTTCTCAGAATTTTCTGAAACTCCCCAGGTGATTGCAGTGGACAGCAAAGGTTGAGAATCAGAGGTTTAGAAGAAATTCTAATTGACAAGCAAAAGCAAAACACCCAAGTGAAATTCTTGACCTTACTGTCACATATCTATTTTCAGGTGTTTCGTCACGGAGACAGAAGTCCCATTGAAACATTTCCTAATGATCCCATTGGGGAATCCTCATGGCCAGATGGGTTTGGCCAACTCACTCAGGTTGGTTGGGGATTTTCAGTTGAAGGTTGTTGATGAGTCTTCAGGGAAACACATACGGAATTGTCTATTTTCACAGATTTTTTACTTTATTGGCTTTAAACATGAGAGATATACACAAACAATAGAATATATGGGTTTAAAAATCTGAAGAGAGCCAGAAAAATCTTCTAAGACAGCACCTGAGTTTTTCAGACTTCACCTGCAAAAAGAGGAGGAAAATGTCTCATAATCCATAAGCTGAATGAAACCTCAGGGTTGGGGAAACGTAACTCTTTAGGAAGCGATGATATCAGAATTGTATTTCTTACCAGATAGATATATTGGGATTGAATCTTCCTTATAAACCAGCAGTCCGCAACCTCTTTGGCACTAGGGACCAGTTTTATGGAAGACAATTTTCCACAGGTCAGGATGATTCAAGGGCATTACATTTATTATGAACTTAATTTTTATTGTTATGTTGTACACTTTATTTCTGTTACCATTACACTGTATACTTCTTTTCTATTATTTTACGTTAGATTTTCATAAGGAGCATGAAACCTAGATCTTTCCCATGCACCATTCATAGTAGGGTTCTTGCTCCTATGAGAACACCGTGCCTCCGCTGCTCTGGCAGAAGGCAGTGCTCAGGCCATGACGTGAATGATGGGGACTGGCTGTGAATACAGATGATGCTTTGCTTGCTAGCCCTGCCACACTCTCTTGCTGTGCAGTCCAGTTCTTAACAGGACCTGTACTGGTTGGGGACCCCTGTTAGAAGTTGTTTGTTAAATACAAGGAGCCTTACTTCTAAAGAGCATCTAAGGAGAAGGTGAAGTGGGGAACAAAGGCATCTTAGTTGCTCTTCCAGGGTCCACCCACCTCACTTGGAAGAGTGGATGGATCCAGAGATGAACCATTTACTTAAATCAGGTCAATCACCAATTATCAACCAAATACTAAGTGCAAGTCTCTGTTAAGTACTAACAAAGATGAATGGGTATGTATTCTCGGGGAGTCAGAGTCTTGACTCACAATCACAGCTTTCTTTTCTTGTTTTCACTTAAGTATGTGTTTTAAAGTAAGACTATTGAAGCATACCTTGTTCACTCCACATGTACAAAGTGAGTTGACACAAATTCCTATGATAATGTGATTCATACTTTTCCTAATTTTTACTTTTTTTTCTATAGCTGGGAATGAAACAGCATTATGAACTTGGAGAATACTTAAGGAAAAGATATGGAAAATTCTTGAATGAGTCCTATAAACGTGAACAGGTAAGTTGGTAAGCCAAGAATGGGCACCTTGACTCTTGAAAGAACTAAAATAATTCTGCATATATAAAAATGTTTTCCCTGTTTTCCAATAACTTATCCAGTCAGAGATATTGTTTATTAATATACTCCTCATTGTAGGATTTTTTCATAATAATGTATGAATATGAGTAAGTCAAAAATTGTATGAACATCTATGTAAATACTATGACTTGGCAGGTAGCCAGTGCTTGATTGGTGTCATTTGTCAACTCAACTGTTGACCTACTAGGTTGCTTTGCCCCATGGTATGCTCATAACATTACTTGTCCTGTAGCAGATACTGTACTTATGGTGTTCCCTCAAAGCCTGCTAATAGTTCAGTGTAGATGTCCTGCTGTTTTTCTAATAGCTGTCAGCTCCACAGAAAGAAAAATCTTACATTTCCTCTAATTTTGGCTCTGCCTTGGTTTTCCCACTCTAGGTTTATATTCAAAGCACAGATGTTGACCGGACTTTGATGAGTGCTCTGGCAAACCTAGCAGCCCTGTTTCCCCCAGTGGGCACCAGCATCTGGAACCCCAGCCTGCTCTGGCAGCCCATTCCAGTGCACACAGTTGCTGTCTCTGAAGACCGGGTCAGTACATAGGGAGGTCTGGGAGACTCCACATGGGCCAAGAATGAGGGAGGTCAGGCTGCTCGGACTTGCTCAGAATCTGGGATTCTGGTCATGCCTTGGGCTGGGAAGTCTTTTTCTTTCTTAAATAAAGGTTCAAGGGACAGCCTTGAACCTGGAAAGCCCTAGAAAAGAAACAGAAGGAATTGAATTTTTCTTTCACTGTCTACCATCCCTTTTGTTTTGCCACCATTTCAGCTTTTGTCAACTCGCTCTCTCCCATCTTTATACACATACATAAACACACACATCTCCTGGCGCTGCGCCTTCAGTACCCTGAACTTTGATGCCCAACATAAGTTTCTTCTCTCTCCAGAAAATCTAAAGATCTCCCTTCCTATCAAACACTGTTCCTGCCTATGAAAATCTGCATCCTTAGATAGAGGAGAAAAAAAAGATTTGAGTGCATAATTGGTGCCCAACATTTTATAAATGACATCATTGCGCTCGCTTTTGCAGCACATATACTACATATGCCATCACATTAACCTTTTATAACAACCTCAAAGGACAAGGGTATTGTACTCTTATACAGCAAGGGCAAAAGAGTTCTCAGAGAAGTTAAATAACAAACAAAAGTGTTCCAAAGTCACATGGCTATGAACTACCACTTTAGGATCAAAAGGAGGCCTTTTGCACTCCCAAGCAATCTTCTTTCCTAAGTTGTATATTAGAATCACCTGGAGGGTTTTCAAAACTGCTGATGTCCAGGGCACTGCTCATAACAAATCAAACTTTCTGAGGGTAGGACCCAGGGATGAGTATTTTACAAATAATCTCCCTAGGGCCAGGGATTTAGCTCAGTGGTTCTGCTGGCTGCCTCGAAAGCATAAGGACCCGAGTTCGATCCCCAGTACAAAATAATAATAATAATAATAATAGCCCTATATGACTCTATGGAGAACCAGTATCATAAACCAAGCTGCCTGAATGGGTCTGAGAGGTACTCTTAAATTTACTTACATAGGGTAGGACTGACCATGAACACTTTGACCTTTTCAGAGGACTTGATATATTTAAAATAGTAAAAAATTTCCAAATGTGGTGGCCCACGCCCATAATCTCAGCACTTGGGAGGATGAGGAAGGAGTATCGTGGGAGTCTGAGGCCAGTCTAGAACTACATAGTGACTTCAAGGCCAGTTTGAACTACATAGCGAGACCCTGTCTCAAAAAGTAAATAAATAGGGAAAATAGTAACAAATTAATCTCTCAGTGTGGCACTTAAGGCTATATAAAGGAAATAGTTTGGAACAAAGAGTAATTTCTCTGCAGTCACATGACAGGCATGACCATCTATTTTAGCCCACTTTCTTTTTCTAAACTGAGCATCACAGACTGTTGTTTATTGAAAAAAAAATAGAGGTTCGTTTGCTGATTGTTCTGGAAGCTAGAAAGTCCAAGAGCACAGTGCCAGCAGCTGCTCTGGGTCTGATGAAGGTGTTCTTGCTGGGTGATGACATGAAAGAGAGCGACCCAGGGTGAGACAGAGCAAATGTGTCAGAGACTGCTCACTTTTATACCTAAGCCACTCATATAATGACTCATTAATCTATGAATGGATGCATCATCTCCAAAAGACCCTGCCTCTCAATGCTGCTCCAACACATGAATTCCAACACATCACATATTCAAAACATAGCACTGTTAAATCTCTCCATGGTGGGAGGCTCAGCATAGACCCAAAGTTTTGCCCAGTGACCTCTAGGATGCATTACTGTCCTTTTTCTCCACCATTACTCCTACAAATTTGACTTGATTGCTTCATCCAGTGACTTAGAAATTTGTCCCAAATGCTTTCGTAGAATCAATTCTTCCCTGTCAACTCCACTCAAGGCATATAACATATATTATATATATTATATTCCTTTAGAATCAGGAGTGAAGTATTATATTACTAGTGTTCTTAAAATTTTGTGAATATTTTTCTTTCAAAAAGAAAAAAAGATCACATTTACCACAGCTTTTTCTGGAGAGATAAAGACTGGATAGCAGTACCACATTTAGCTAGTGTAAACTAAGGGATCTAGTTAATCTGAAATCCAGAAAGATAGTACTTAAATTACATAATAAAGAAAATGCAGGCTATTAGAGGGGAAAAGAAACAGAAAATGAGAGGGAGAAAGAAACAAGCAAGATTATCTACTTACTATTTCCAGCTACCTTCTTGCTAAGGAAAACAAAATTCTCCTCTCAGTTAAGAAGTCTAACAAAATCAGAGCTGGGCATGGCAGTGCATGCTTGGAATCCCAGCACTTGGGAGGCTGGGGCAGAAGTATCATTGTGAATTCAAGGCCAGCCTTGGCTACGTGATGAGCTCAAGGCCAGCCTGAACTATATAGCAAGACCCTGTCCAAAACAAGAAAGCCCAACAAAATCAACCAGTCAATACAAGGTTATTCCCAGAACTGTGCTGAGTGCTATAAAGAAATATAAGAGAAATATGTAGCCAAGTTTCTTCTCAATTTATTATCTGTTCAATGAAACAAAATCAGCATTTGTGAAACATGTAAAACACATTGCAAGATAGTTGGCAATGATTTCAAGTACCAGTTTGCACACTGGAGGAATTCAGAGACCTGTATAAAGCTACCACAGGGCAGAGATTCCAAGCTTTGTAGACTGAGAACTGGAGCCTCACCTCCAAGGTAAGAAAAGAGAGGAATCATACATTCTTCAATATCAGACACCTAGGATGAGCCAAACTCTGAGGCATTTGCTCGACAAAAGCTTGGAAGGAAAAGACACTGGAGTCTCAGAGAACAACTGTAGACACAATTCAAGAATGAAGAAGTAAAGGCCCGGAATTAAATAGTAAAATATGTTAGAGGAAGGAAAGCAAGGTAAGACAAGAGACAGAATCAGAAATGATAAGAGGTAACTTATAAAATAAATGTTTTCTAAAGGAATTAAGATGTGTTATGTATGTGTACCAACTACCTCCAACAAACGTAAACATTATGTACTATGCACATGTACTAATAAACTAGAATTTTTAAAAATGTTTTCTGAGTAACTGCTAATATGCCAGCCCTGTTCAAGATGTAGACATTATAGCAGGGAACAAGAAAGACAAGATGTTCATTCTCTTGGTGTTATATATTATAGGAAAATATAATAAAGAAAATAATTTCAGATGGTGATGAGTCCCTTGGAGGAAGCAAAACAAACAAGTTAATATGATAGTTGCTGGGGTGAGATATCTGGAGGACCCAAAGCGGAATGGGAAAGACTTGAGGAAAGAGGTGTTCCAGGCAAAGAATGATTGGCACAGAGGCCCTAAGCGTCTGTGTTAGGAGATAGCAAGGAGTCCCACAGTGCTGCGGGACAGAAGGAAGTAAGAAGGATGATAGTAGACAAAGACATGACAGAGCTTTCTAGGGCCTATCTCATGCAGACTCTTGTAAGCCAAGATGATTTTGGATTTTATTCCAGGTAAAATGAAAAGCTAATGAAGTTTGGGGACTACAAAATGACTGATTGATGCCTTAAAAAGATAAAAATAAAAAGGAATAGTATAGCGGCTGTGTAGAGATTGAATTGTGAAGGTGTTACCCATTTCTGACCCCAAACTGGATTCTTTTTCCCTCTCAGAATCATGGAACCAATAACCAGACTGAACACCAATTGAGCAGCAAAGATTTTTATTTTTGGCCAAGAGTAGAAGTGGAAGAAAGACTTGAAAATCAACTTCTTGACCCACTGGGGATCAGGAGGTGAAAGAAATATGGGAAAAAGATAGGCTAACACAGGGAGAAAATATTCCCATTTTTTCTGAGAATGAGCAGAGATTTTCCAGGAATTTAGGTACCATCTCTTTCCTTTTATGAGTCTTTCTTGTTCTTGTCATGGCAATTAGCAACTGACATGTCACTGGGGGTGTCAGTTAGCACACAGATGAGATTATAATGAAGTTAGAGGTTGTTTGTGGGTCACTCTGGCAGCCATCTTAGATTCAGTCAGTTTTGGCTGGCCCAACCAAAGAGGACCTTCTGGCCTGCACAGACCATGTCATCAAAGTAAAATAAGATTAGGGCTGAGAAGAAATTTAAACTAATCATGTAGGTAGGAGCAAAGGATGTCAGTTGACCAAATAGAAGCTCTTACAGAAGTTGAAACACAGACTATGATGACTTAGACTGGGCAGAGACAATGGAAATAACCAAAAGGGGCCTATTTTAGATACATTTCAAAAGTAGACAAATAAAAGTAGCCTATAAAGCAGGTTTATAAATTTTGCCATTGGCAAAAGAAAAGAAATTGCCAAGAGGATATGATTAAAACAAAAAAGTTGAGTACAGCTTTGTACATGTTAAATTTAAGGTCTTCAGCATCCAAACATTCAAACAGTGCTCTCCACCAGGGATTGGAAATACAGGACAGATGGAAAGTCAAAGCAACAAAATACATGTGTATGTGTAGTATTTGGGACTGAACCCAGGGCCTTCTCACTGAGCTACATCCTGAGCCCTTTTCTTAATTTTTTCAGATAAGAGCTTGCTAAGCTGCCCAGGCTGGATTTAAACTTGTGATCCTCCAGCCTCAGCCTCTCAGCCTCCCACAGGCATGCACAACCATGACCAGCTAACAAAATACACTTGGGAGTACCAACCTATAAATTACAGTTAAAACTACAAGAGATTATGGAATTTTAACTCATTTTAAGGTTATCATTTTGTCCTCAATAGGTTTTAAATTGTATTTTCCATACATTTAATATACACCTTCATTTTAACATCTGCAAATTTCCAAGAACTGAATCTAACATATGCTTAATTGATATCTTAAGGGTCTTTCCAGAACTGCTCATATTCTTGTGGGGAAGAAGGGTATACTCAGATGTGTACCAAGTGCTGGAAATGAAAGGGCTTGGGGAGGAAGCAAGATAATAATTTTTCATACAGAAACCCACCAATTGTGAATATTTACCAAAAGCACATTCCAAGTTAGGCCAGTTCATGAAAAAAAAAAAAAAAAAAAGATGTTTCAGGTCTGCATATATATTCTACTATTTTAAGACCTGCTGACCATTTGTCTTGTTCCTTCCAATTTTAGAATTTTAATTTAGCTCAAAACACATTTGAATCTTTTATTAAGGTTGCTTTAGTCCTAATGAGGCTTGTGTAGCTTCTTATTTTTCCCAGATCATTTTCCTTATTACTACATGTGTGTCATACATAATGCTTATACTCCATGTGTGGAGTCAGTACATGTACACAATACATCACAATTCTTTTTCATCCCCTCCCCCTTCCCTCCCTCCCCACTTCATCCATCTCTTGAGCAGCTTCTTTGCCAAGGTTCTTCTAACTAACTAAGGTCTAATGATTTTTCTTTTGTCCCCAGTTGCTCTACCTGCCTTTCAGGAACTGTCCTCGTTTTCAAGAACTTGAGAGTGAGACTTTGAAATCTGAGGAATTCCAGACGAGGATTCAACCTTATAAGGTTAAAAGTAGTACTACTTAGTGAGATCATTGAGTGTGAGAGGCAAGACAAAGGGTGATGCTTTAGCAGCTTCTCCTTCTTTAGTTGTTTTTTTGAGACAGAGCCTCACTGCATACTCCAGGCTGGCTTTACTATGTAGCCCAGGTTGGCCTCAAACTCAGGATCCTCATACCTCAGCCTCCCAAATACTGAGATTACAGGCATGCACCACCACGCCTGGCTAAGCTTCAGGTTCTTAAAACCATGAGGTGAACATATCTGTCAGCAGCTGATTATAGCAATGGCTTGGAAGAGTGATGGCAAACCTTCTAGAGATTTCAGTAATACAAACAGCCCACTGCAGCTCACATACCACAGGTTTGCCACCACTGGCTTAGAATATTGCATGTGGGAAGTCATTATTACCTGATTTCCTTCCCTGTACAAAAGGTCACAAACTAGTAGAGAAGCCAGTCTTTTTCAAATTTGTTCCTATGCCCATGACAGGAACCAGGTGCAAATGAGTTTAACATCACCTTCTTTATCAAGCCTGAAGCACCAGGGCTTTTTCTATACACAAAGTAGACTTTTTTGAAGCCAGGCGTGGTGGCGCATGCCTGTAATCCCAGCATTTGAGAGGCTGAGGCAGTAGGATTGCAGAAAATTCGAGGCCAACCTGGGCTACGCAGTGAGTTCATGATCAGCCTGAACTACATAGCAAGACCCTGTCTCAAAAAAACAAAAATATAACAAAAAAGAATAGACTTGTTGTTTTTGTTTTATGAACTCTCCTCTTCACAAAAGGTAGATGCAAAGCTGCGTATTTTTTTAGACTAATCTTTTGAATCAGTGATACATTTGGTAAAATAATCAAAAAGAATAAAAAGAAATACAGTGGAAAATCTCTCAAGGACTCCATGGGTAACCACTAACATTATTTTCTGCATCATTTCCAGTTTCTCTATGCATATACAAGCTAATACAAGTGTATTGATAGTTTTGCAATTTGTTACACAAGATGACATGTTTATAACACTGGGCACTTTGATTTTTTTCTTATTGTTGATTTTATTTTTCATTTAATAAAATGTCTTGGAAATATTTTTATTTCTGTATACAAAGAATTTCCTCAACCTTTCTTTCTTTTTTATAAATGTGCTGTATTTGAATTTGTGGATGCAACACAATTTATTTAGTCAGCCCCTATTGATGAAAATATGGGTCATTTCCAATATTTCATTTTTACAGTCTATATGAGTACCTTGTGAGTCTGAATAATGTCACAAAAAAATCTAAGCAATAATATGCCAGAAATTCTGTGTCTCTTTGAAATACTATCAAATTTCCTTCCAAAGAGGTTAGATCAATTTCTATCCTTATCAGGCCTGGAGGGGAGTGCCTATTTCTCCACAGTCTTGCCAACACTATATAGAAAATGCTGGGAGAATTTGCGAGCCTGATAAGTGAGAAATGGTATCACTGGACATATCCTCCCTAAAATCAGGAACAAGATGAGGAATACCACTGTCACCACTCTTATACCACATTGTGCTCTACTGCTTTTCTCTTACAAAAACTTGGGTTTCTTCATCTACTTAAGTATTTGTATTTTTTTCTATTCCTGTCCCTTTATTATTTTTTCTTTTGAGTTACTGGTTTTCTTTTTTCTATATATTTTAGACACTTTCACTATATATTTTAATAGTCCTGCCTGCAATATGAATGGCATTTTTTATGCAGTACATGTATTGTTGTTACATGTATTTATCTATTGACTTTGCTTATGATATTTTGGCATGGTAAGCTGTATTTCCATATATTCTTAGATAGCTTCTATATTTTGAGTACCTTGTTTACTAAGTTATGAGGGAAGTCTGCACACCTTTCTTTTAATTCTGTTACAGCTTCATTTTTACATTTATGTGTTACATCCATTCACAGTTTGTACTGGTGTTAGTTGTGACACTCATATCCTACTTATGGTTTTTTTCCCAGATTATATGACTGTCCCATCCCTATTGAAAAGTTCATCTTTTTTCACTTATTCAAGCTATTACTTATTTAAATTCCTTTATATACAAAATTTATTTCTGAAATTTTTATTCAATTAAATTGTTCTTATTAGCCAAAACCATGGATTTAACTTCTAGGACTTTATATTATGCTTTAATATCTAAAGTAGTGGTCATCTTTCATGGCTCTACATTTTCTAAAAATATGGCTGTATTTCACTTTCTTTGTAAACTTTTGAGTCAGCAACTATCCAAAAAAATTTAATTTTTTAGTGTTTTTTTTCAGGATCATATTAAATTTATAAGTTAACTTAGGAAGAACTTGAATCTTTTCAATATTAAGTCTTCTTTTTTAAGAATACATACATTTTTCCTGTTTTGTTTTTTTTAGTTCCTTTATTGGTACATTTTAGGAATACAATTCATTTACATTTATCATTGGGTGTTTGTACCTGTACATGATATATCTTGGTTCTTATTTTTTTCCCCATTACCTTAGCGCCCTTCACCCCCTTCGCCCTTCCCTATTTACATGGATTTCATTTCCTTTTTTTTTTTCTTTTCTCATAGTTTTTCTTTTCC